CGAAGAACGTCACGTGCTGCGCCTGGCGTCGCTGGAAAGTTCAAGAGTTGCGTCTCCGATCTCTTCTTTCTTGCCCTCCCCACACCACCACAATACGACCCAACCACCTCACCCACCGCGCACCATCGATTTACCCGGTCGACCATCAATCACGCGACACTGCCATCGCGCCCGACACATCGACGAGGTAATTCGCGAATCTGCGCCTCCCTTACGCGTCGACACGACATCGTACAAGCGTGAGTTCGACTCGCACAATGGCGGACGAGGCCAACCCACCCGTGTCTGCGGACACCATCAACACTGCTGAGTTGCCGACGCGTTCTTCGGACGCTGTTGCAGAGCCTGCTGTCGCTGAGGCCAAGCCGGCTGAGGACGGTGTCATAGCCACCTCAGGTGTCGCCGAAGGTAACCAATAGCCTGCTCGTAAAATCTACAGGGCGCAGTAGCTAACGCGATCGCGAACTAGTTCCCGAAGACGACGCTGCTCAAAAAGACGATGCCGCGAAGGAAGACGTCACTGCTGACGCGCAGGCAGAGCCAACCACGGCCAGCGACGACGCAGGTAAGTCCAGCCATGCTTGATTTCGAGCCTCGGGCTACCAGCGTATCACAATCGCGTACTAACCTATTATCTCAGATGCCGCCCCTGCCTCCGACGCGCCAGCAACGAATGGCACTCCAGCACCGAAGAAGGCTGCCAACGGCAAGCGCAAATCAGGCGCAGGTGTCCCCGAGCACAAGAAGAAGACACCGGCTAAGAAGGGAAAGAAGCCGCCCCCGGAGCTGCGTTTGAATGTCTCGCCTGGTGACATGTTCATGGTCGCCATGCGGGGTTACCAGCCATGGCCAGTCATTGTTTGCGATGAACAAATGCTCCCAGAGTCGCTGCTTAGCAAACGTCCTGTCAGTGCTAAGCGCATTGACGGTACATATCGCGAAGACTTTCTCGAGGGCGGCAAAAACGCTAAGGATCGGAGGTACCCGGTCATGTTCCTGGGCACCAACGAATTCGCATGGCAGGTCAACACTGAGCTGTTATCATTCGACATCGAGGAGGTGAAGAAGGACGTGGAGTCCAGCAACCAAGGCAAGAAGAACAAGCAGCTCTGGGAAGCGTATCAAATCGCGGCTGAGGGTCACGATCTGGCACACTTCAAGGAGATGCTGGCTGCCCACGAATCTGCGATGCAAGAAGACGTGGAGCAGAAGGAGCAAAAGAAGAAGGAGAAGGCTGAGAAGTCAGCCAAGCGTAAAAGCACAGCCCCTGACGACTCAGAAGACGTTGAGATGGGAGAAGCTGGCGACGATGCTGCCCCTGCAAAGAAGGCGAAGGCCACTAAGAAGCGCAAGAAGGATGATCAGAGCGATGGCGAGAACGAGAAGGTATGCGCCGCATATACCCGTCGATTTACGCACTCTAATTTGCTTACAGGCTGTAAAGACTCCCAAGATCAAGTTGACGACTGGCAAGACACCAAAGGCCGCATCGGCCGCGAAACCCAAGAAGGAGCCCAAGTCTAAGAAGAAAGCGAGTGAGGAAGCTGCGCCCGAAACACCAGAGGAGGCTCCTATGACTGAAGAGGAGCGACTAGTGAAGCGCGAGAAGCAAGTTCTCTACCTCCGTCATCGCTTGCAAAAGGGCTTCCTCTCGCGCGACCAGAAACCAAAAGACGAGGACATGACGAGCATGGACGAGTACCTGAAGCAGCTTGAGGCTCACGAGGATCTGGAGGCCGATGTCATAAGGAAGACCAAGGTGCACAAGGTACTGAGGGCAATTCAGAAGCTTGAAACTATTCCGATGGAGGACGAGTACCACTTCAAGCAGCGCTCCAGTGATCTTCTCTCCAAGTGGACCCCTGCTCTGGCGTCTGAGCCTGAGGCTGCTGCTGCCAACGGCGTCAAGAGCGAAGATCGGGAGAAGTCTGAGTCTGCCAAAGACGAGGCGCCGTCTGCTGAGAAGACCACAGAGGAAGATAAGAAGGACGATGCTAATACTGATGCCGCCGTTACCAAGACCGCTGACGAGGATGGCGATGTGCAAATGTCGGAAGCCGACAAAGAGGTCATCAAGGATGCGCCTGCAGCGCAAGAAGAGGCTGAAAAGAGCGCAGAAGGCGTCGAGAAGGCGACTGCTGAGCCCGAGACTGCTGCTGCGGCAACGGATGATGCGTCCACCTAAACGCGGCGCGCTCATGAGCAATGAGCAAGGAACTGGCGTCTTCGGCTCGGTTGCGGTCGTCTTTCTGCAGTAACCTGACTGCAATACTGAAGCGCAACGGCTTGCGATGGTTGGTATGAGCATGCCCTAACAAAACGCGTTCGGCTATCTCTACAGCTGGCGCACCAGCTTTCGTATTTGGACGACAGGGGTCATCGGTGTATATACATATAGTGCTGAACAAGCAGGGTTATTGGGGTCCGATGAGAAGACGCGGGCTTATTCTTTGCGACATGCGTCTCCTTTCATAGGTTCTCAGAGATTAGTGAGCTTTAGCGGAGTAAGAGACTGTCTTAGCAATCGATAACACTTAGAATTACCTCTTGAATATGCCACTGCTGTTTCCGACAGTGATCACATTGACTACTTTTCATATCTTTATTCTCTCCGCGCATGTATCATGGTAGTGTGTGGCGCGCGCATCGCGTGCAGCAATGGATGCCCCGCTATCATTATGACGTACTCTTCGCGCGTTGAGCTCCATAACAAAACCATAGCCGCGCAAAGCTCCTCGCAGCTATTAACAACAATCGAGACTCGATACTTTTTGTCGTACAAACACTCAATACATCAATCAGCACCCTGAACACTATTTCAAGATGGCCAGCGCAACTAGAAAAGACCTGCTCAAGAAGGTCTACAACATGGTACCGCCCATGCTTGAGAGCTTTCACAAAGGTAAGGAATGATCTATGATACTGGCCCCCGACGTGGATTCTAATGTATTCGAACAGGTCAATTGGGTCGTGTAGCTGTCATTGGTGGCAGTGAAGACTACACTGGTGCGCCTTACTTTTCTGCTATGGCATCCGCAAAGCTAGGTTGCGACATGGTAGGAACATCTAGATCAACCCATGTCAGACAATGTGCTCACCTGGCTGCAGTCCCACGTAATCTGCGAACCTGGCGCCGGTGCGGTCATCAAGACATACTCCCCCAACCTCATGGTACACCCATACATGCGCCAATCGAAGAACCTCGCCAAGTCCGAAAGCGCAGACAGCATCACCTCAGAAGTAGTAGCCATGCTATCACGTCTCCATGTCATTGTCATTGGTCCCGGTCTTGGTCGCGATGAACTCATGCAAGAAACCTGCGCACAGGTCATCCAGGAGGCAAGGAAACAGGGTATCCCATTTGTGCTGGACGCCGACGGCCTCTACCTTGCTCAGACAAGGCCGGAACTCGTGGACGGCTGCACCGAATGCATTCTCACACCCAACGTTGTCGAGTTCGCAAGGCTAGCCAAGGCCAAGGGCGTAAATGTCGACGAAGGCGATCCCTCAGAGCTGTGCGCCAAGCTGTCAAAGGCATTCGGTGGTGTCACCATCATTCAGAAGGGCGCCAAGGACTACATCTCCAACGGTTCGCACACACTCGTATCTGAGGGCGAGGGTGGTCTGAAGCGCTCTGGTGGCCAGGGTGATACTCTTACCGGCAGTCTGGCGACCCTGTTGGCGTACAGGAAAGCATACCACGACAAGATCTGGGACATTGGCACTGAGATGTCAAGGAGCGAGACGCTTGCTCTTGCGGCGTATGGTGGATCATGCATCACTAGGGAGTGCTCGAAGCTAGCGTTCAAGGAGAAGGGCAGGTCGCTGCAAGCCAGTGACTTGACTGGCCATGTACACACTGCTTTCCTCAACGTCATTGGCGAGAGGGAAGAGACTCCCATGTTGTGAGCTAGAGATGGCTCCTTTGGTGGTGGTAAAACTCGGTGTCTATGGCAAAGCACATCTCGTGTCAAAGACTGGCGTTAATACATAAGTAAATGTAATGATTTGTAGAAATACATCTTTTCGGCCGCCTTTTTTTCGTGCCTTTGAGCGACATAGCGGTCTACTGTCCGAGTACATGAGGCCGCTTGATTCTCATACGATTTGCTAAGTGTTGTCAATGGTCAGGCAATTTACCAATTCATGTTTACATATGCTGTGCGCGGGCCCAAAATCGCTGAGCCAGACTACCGCGGTTTGAAGGAGTCTTCGGATACTGCACATTGTGTTAAGTAACTTGGACTTCGATAAGAGGAATTGACAAAAGTGTATGGCAGAATTATGTCCTATCACGTATGTACAGTTTTTTACTCTAATGAAACAAAACTATGCGCGAGAATGTACACATATACCTAGACGAACGTATTGTACTCAACCTAGGTATAGAGCAAGATCTCTAGAACCCAACGTACAAGTAGGCTTCCAAGGCAACGTAGTTATTCGCAATTCCCCAGTATCGTGAATGTCCACTCAAGGCTGGACACTACAGCAAACGTAGCACACCTGGAATAAACGGTACCTCAAGAAACGTCACACGGTTCAAGGAAGATGCCATGAGCGCATGCATATGCAGGGCATCTGAAAATAGACGGCGTGCATGTGGAAAATGTTCCGGTTATTGAGGATCGCGTTGGTGGTTGTGCTGATGAGGCTCGGCGACTGCGCATATGCAAGGGGCGATTTCGGGCTGAAAGAGGACTATAGCCCGGGAATCTACCCCCAATGTAAGCAGCTTTGATCAGGTTCGGGGCTACGGACTTGATGTTGGCGGATAGAGAACTTCCTGTCTAGGTGTATGTACGCGCTTCGCCCCAAACGGATGCCTTTCTTTGTCCCCCAAATTATCGGAATGCATTCCCGCCTCTGTCTGTGCAACAGCAGGATCAGTGCAGCCATGTGTAGACAAAGGGAGCCTTTAAGCAACGCTATCGTCATCGAGGTGTGTGTATGTGCATCTGTTGGTTCACTTCTGCACTTCTAATCATCATCGTTGCAATATGGCACATAATGCAGAAGATTACTATGACATGCCTGTCGAGATGCTGCCGTCCGCAAACTTCGCAGGCCGCCCTACGAGCGACATCAGCATAGGCATGTACGACGGACTCTGGGATTTGGTGTTCTCACCCTCCTCTTATTCGTCCGAAGACGAAGCCGCAGAAGAAGGCAATGAAGCCGCTCTACGACTACGAACCCCACCGAGATCACCTCCTTCGCCAACGCAATTAGAGTCGCCAGTAAGACCAACAATCAGAGTAACGTCACCGACGCTCAGAGATGAGGGGAGGCTATGGAGAGAAAGCTGGGCCAACGATGAGAGCATGGTAGATCGGCCACGATTGAGGAAGAAGTCCCAGACAGCACCTCCCGGCGGCTTTGAAGCACAGGCTACACCACCCCTGGAGCCACGGCGAGCGATCAGTGTAAGGTTGAGCTACTCGAACACAATAAGGAGAAGGCGGCCGAAATCGGATGAGGGGGTTGCGAACTGTTTGGACACCAAGAAGGTCTCCAGGGACGGGCGATTGGGACCACGCAAGGCATTGCCGAAACCACCATCAAGCCAGGATAACGAGGCGACACCTCATCGTACGACGCGTGCTCTCGGCTTCTTTCCCGAGAAATCACGAGGGCAGGAGACTGTGAAACACAAGCAGCTTGGGACGCTAAACACTCTGAACACTGCTTTGGCGGACTTTGAGTCGAAGAGATTACCCACCTCGCCCAGCTCGATGTTAGAGACACCACGAGAATGTTACGCAACACCACCAGAGCGGCTTGGGACAAGTGAAACCTCAGGTAGCCCACGCTCATCTCGCTCATGGGGTCGGAAGTCAGTCCGGTCTGTCAGACCTGTTGCTCATACAACCCACTCGCCCTCCTCCGCACGGCCAAACGTAGAAGCCCACCATACGCTAAAGCGCAAACACCAACGTGGAGATGTTGACGCGGCTGAACGGCGGAGAGTTTATCTACCCGGGGCCATCATGCTGGCAGAGTATCCAGCTAAGCTTCGCAGAGATTCTGTCGCAACGCTTGACCCATTTACGTTTGACCCCAAACTAGACTCGCCAGGAAGGCGAACATCGGATTCCGCAGGGCTGGACAGTATAGTAATCTTTTTCGAGGAGTTTGGTGTGGTCGCAAAGGTTACTGAAGCCACCTTGGACCAGTATTGGCTACGACAAAGTCTAAAGATGAGCGACGCCATGGATGAAGAGATGGAGGACTTTGTCGCCCGCAAGGCAAGCGTATCAAGCGTGAGGGAGGTAGGGCCAATGGGTCCCCGTGTCACACAAGGTCCTCCCGGGTTGAAGTCCTCGTTCTCGTCCGCGTCATCTGTGGTTTCTATGCACCCACCAGAAAAACGTAAGCGGAGCAGGCTGCGAGGACTGCTATCACCAGGCCTTCCTGGCGCAGCCTTTCTCAAGTCCCCTGCAGGCCGCGGACAGCAGATGGAAAGTTCATGACCAAGATAGCAATAGTGTAGATTGGATCAATCAAACCTTAGGGAGATGAGCCGCGTGTCACGATTCAGGCCGGGGTACCTGGGTACCTGGGGTGATGTTCTGCCAAGGTGTGATCGCGATGAGGTGCCATCCTGAACGGGTAGTTCACGACACATGGGCTGGCGGTTGCCAGTATGGGAGACGATCATTGAGCCTGGACTCTTCTTCTGCTGACATGTCTAACGCGAGGAAGAAAATTGATGGCGATCCGCCGTTTCCGCATTTCGCGTACCCATGGGCGATGACGACTGATGGCTGGCGATTCAGCCGTGCGGTAGACGCTTTGGGAATAAGACGGACATTGGCGCGGCGCCAGAGGAAAAACGTGTGGGTGACGCCTCTGCCACTGACAGCACAGTTTGCCAAATGCGAATGGACGCATGAAACCTGGTGGTCCCTCACCGAGTGTGGGTTCACGATAGGGTAGCACTGGGGAGTCCCCAGGATCGAGTGGCCAGGGCCACGGTGTTGGCTTCCGTGTGCCAAAAGTGAGGCAGCGAATGAAAATTGCGTCCGCCCCTTTATGTCCAATGAAACGGCAGACGGATGGCATCGATCGCCGGCGAGGATAGCCCTTCTGAGCTCACCTTGGCCCTTCGTCCACCGCTCAGCGCGGGCCGCATTCGTCAGACGCTCTCTGACACGAGCCAGCGCATCGCTCGTCCCCCATGCACCCAGGTGGTGCTAAAAGCACATCTTCCCCTTCGCAACCCGCATTCTCACTTATTCATCGCCTCGCAATTCTGACATTACCCCATTTGCTTCCTTCTTCACCACCACCATCTACCACCACCGTAAGATTTTCCTGCACAGACAAGCCCTTCTTTGGCCGTTGTTGCTGATCATCGTTTCGCCCAGCTTGCTTCTTACACCGCTACCACTATTCTTACCAACCCATCCCACCACCCCTCAGACGTCATGGCCTCGACTCTTGCGAGTAGTAGCAGTAGTAGTAGTAATACCTACGTCGCCTTCCTCGAACAAGCCAAGCACGACTTCTGCATGAGCAACGCACACCTCTCAGAGGAGGAGCTGAACCGCGCGTGGTTCCAGGCTGCCTGCCAACCGTCGCAACCCTCCATGGCCCACCAGGTCCCACGGTCAATGGCTTTCAACACGTCAAATATGACCCAGCTCCCAGTATGGACACATTTTTGGTCTTCTCGTCCCTGATCTAACACCCACTAGACAACCGGCTTCGAATCAATGGACCGGACTCGTTCTGCTCCCGTCATGAACCGCTCAGACTCGGCCATGACCGACAACCTACACCGCTCAAACACCACCTACTCTGACTGGCCTTCAATGTCCCAAGAGTCCAACACCGACTACACGCTCTACTCTGACACCTCCATGCGAAGACAGCCGACTCTCCAGTCGATGCCAGAGACTGCTTACAACAGCATCGCTGAGTACAGTGTTGGCGACTACGTCAGCAGCTGCATCCAGCCAGACAATTCATCTTCCCTCCCCACCCCCCAGCATTCACAACAGTTGCAACTGACACCCAGCTTGCAGTGGAGTTCGTCTTCGGACGTCTCTTCGCCCAGCACACCGTCAACCGCTCTGATGACACCTGTTACTCAATCTAGTAACATGAGTCGTCAGGGTAGTTACAACCCTCTGTTTTTTGATAACATTTCCATGTCGCGTAACCAGTCAAATTCTTCATGTATGCCCATCCTCCCAGAGGATGGGTCGTTTCCTTATTCCTTTAACGTCGCATCAAAGCCCATCAGCGAGTCCGCTGATGGTTCTCATTTTCTCAACTTCACTGGCTCCTCCAGTGAAGCTTTCCTTTCTTCATCTGTTCCTGCAAGTGCGCATGCACTTGCCTCTTCCGACAACGATCAGTCGTGCCTGGCGGAGGATATGCGGAGGTCGACTTCAGCTTCATCAAGCGAGGGTTACTCGAGCGAGGTCTCTGCACCTTCATCGACCAACTCTCGTCAATCGCAACGCGAACGCGAGATCAACGCGCAAGCTGCGTCTCGCAAGATTGCCCCGAAGGCAATCGACAACAATGATGCGACCGAGTCTGCGTCATCAAATGCTCAGATGACAAGGATAAGGTCTGAGGATGGTTCCTCTAAGACTGTCGGTGTTCTGTCAAAGACACCGTACGTGCGTCCTCAACACCCAAAGATCAAGTGTAACTTTTGCAACGAGCGACCCGATGGGTTCCGTGGCACACATGAGCTTGACCGTCACATTGCTCGCGCCCATGCCTCTCGCAGGAAGGGCTACATCTGCGTCGACTCTTCAGCCGACAAGAAGTTCCTCGCCAACTGTAAGCACTGCCGTAACAAGAAGGTGTACGGCGCGTACTACAACGCTGCCGCCCATCTTCGCCGTGCGCACTTCCATCCCCGCAAGAGGGGCAGGAAGGGCAAGAACGACGAGAAGCGTGGTGGCATCGGTGGCGGAGACCACCCTCCTATGGAGTATCTCAAGCAAAACTGGATCAAAGAGGTGGAGGTCGACAACAAGCCCACCCCTCAGTCGCCCGAAAGCGCTTCCGACAACGACGCGTCTGAACAGATCGACAACACCTTCGACACTTCTTCGTACGAAGTCGACAATACTGCTATTCCTGCTGCCGCCTACCCTCCGTCGCAACAGCCGCTTCCCATGGCCATGCCCATGCAAGTACCCATGATGGACCAGGTCCCTATTGACCCAAATCAATACATGGACTACGGTATGAACATGCATGCGAATGAGCCCATGGTGTTTGACAGCAACACGTTCTTCGACCCCAACCTCCCTGTCCCGACCGACATGAGTAACTTCCAGTTCGACGCGTACATGGGTCCTTGAGCCCATGTATCCTTTTCCTCCTCCCCCCCTCACCCCCTTTCGCTTGACTCTTTGAGTCACTGATGTATATAACGTTGGGTCTGCGCTGTTTGCTTTTTCTTGCTCTTTGGCGTTCGATGTATTGACCACCAGCTTGACTTCCTATGGAGCAGCTGTGGTAGGTCTGCATCTTGGCGCTTTCCTGGTTTCGTCTTTTCACGCTCGTCGACGTATATGAGATGTATCGATTTGCTGGGCTTATAGAGAGTGACGCTGTCCCTCGGGGCGCTCACATAACGTACCGATGTTACTGTCGCATAACGTTAATGCTTGTGTGGCTACTGCTGCCGGGCTTCAAAGAAAGAAAAATACAATAATCAAAACAAACATGTCTGCGTTGGTGTGATGATTGTTTCTATCGTTTCCCTGTTAACTCATCTTCGAGTCCTTGTCTTCAATATCAACAAACAGTAAGTAGATGTGTGTTGCTATGCTCGGGTGTCTACTCCGGATACATTCCTGACAACCTGTTCACCCACCTTTGTCAATTGCCATGTCTATCACCAAGATGCTCGTCAACAAGTCGTCTATATTGTAGGTTAGAAACAACAAGCCTTTATGTACTTTTGTTCGCTTTCAAAACGAACGGGTCGCATGACTGAAAACGAACATTGATTTGATGGCATACTATGTGCATTGCCCCTGCCATGTTATGCGCCTGCAAGGATACTAGCCAACTTTCTCAAGAGGTCTATTCACACCAAGATTTAGTCCTCTGCTCCGCCTCGAGACAAAAAGACCTAGTAGCTAGAGTTGGGGTAGTTACCACCACCCTGTGTCGAGTTATCAACGGGGTTGGCAGGTCCACCAGTCTGTCCCAATGCACCACCAGCCTGTGTTGCCTCGCCCTTTGACTGCTTAATAGCCTCTCTCGCCTCGGCTTGTTCAGCCTTCTTCCTATTCGATTGTCAGCACACATCCAACCCACTCATCTAGCATCCAACACTCACCTGTCCAGATCGCTCGCCAGATCAGGCTGCTCTCCACCACCACCCAAACCCTTCCCTCCCTGAGCCACCGCATCGGCTACACGTCCCTCGCCCGGCGCAGCCATTTGTTGCCCGTCCAGCTCCTTGTGCCTTCCTACGTCTTCATGGGTCAGACCTTTGCTCTCTTCGCCCGCTGGTGCGCCGTGGACTCCCATGCCTTCCTCGAACTTTGCATTTCGTAGTCCCTCGGCGTCGGTAGCTTGCTTGGTGGGGATACGTTGGTCGACGGTGGCGGCGTTGTCGGTGGCGTTAAACTCTGTTTGGACTTGCTCTTTTGGGTCTTTTTGCGCTGGGTTGCCGGGTGTGGTGTAGGCTTGGTCTAGGGAGGGCTGCGAGGGGCCCTGGGGATCGAGACCGGACATTGTTGGTGTTGGTAGATGCGGTTGTGGTTGTGGGTAGGTAGAGTGTCAATTGACAGACGAGAATTTGAGTGCAGAGAGTATGTGAGGTTGGAAATTATGTGGATTGGGTTTGTATATGGGAAATCAGGCTGGAGCTGTCGAGGATAATGTTTTGGCTATCTGCCATTGCTATGACGTCTGCGGGGTGGGCCCGTCATTCATTCCCGCCCCACCAATGCGCGCCGTTGTCATGTGAGGACGTGGAAAACAAACGTCTGAGCCGCGTTTTAGTCTTGTCTCGTAGTCATTGGTATCGGCGCGGCACGATGGCGGGAGGACTAGGTGCGAGATCGGTCCCAAAACTTGCATGCGGCCGTGCAACGAGAAACCAGATAGATACACGCAGGTCTTCGTCTACGCCGTCGCCTACAATAAAATCAACGTACTGAGGTGAAGAACGGTGCATTCATGTAGACTTCTGGGTTATACATACATACATAGTATGTGTAGTATTGTTTGTTACTTGCTGATATAGTAGCTGACGGATTCAGTACTTCTCTTGAACGGAGAGCGTGCTTGCTAATGAAACACGCCTCGGACGACCTTACTCAACTAGTGTTATGCTGCTGATTGTAGGAATAAATATCATACCATCTCCACAACCTCGTATCGCCTAATGTATGATAGAGGTATACGCACTGTAACCACTACAGGCCGTGGAATGATGAGCATGCGAGCTCGAACTCCCAACAAACCCATGGAGTAACCCTGTGGGCTACAAAGCCGGCCAGCCCATAACCTAGATATCCCCGAACGCCTTAAAGATGATTCCTGACCAAACGCCTTCGCTATGCTTGTAAGATGAAAAGCCAGATATCACTCCGTTTCCATTTCTACGTCTGCCGAGGGTTCCCTTGTTTCGACGGTGTTTGTAGTTTCGCGGCTCTCTCGTTTCGATTCGGTTGCTTTGGCGGCTCTTTCACGGGTTCTGCGACACCACTCTTCTATCGATTCGGCGCCTCCTCCTTCGATTTTGATGGTCTTGGGTTCGGCTGGAACTCCAAGAACGGTGCCTTGGAAACGTGATTCGACGCCGGTCTTGCTGTGTTTCTTCATGAGAGCTGGGCAAGTGATTAGCAAGTCTGCAGCTGTGTAGAGAAGTATTTCGACATACTATTCAAGTAGTCCTCCATTTCCTCCTGATCAAGCTGCTCTGTCGGATTCGTCGCAACTGGCTTGTAGATGCCGGCTATGCGCCGAATCTCCTTGTTCTGGTCGCCTTTGACCCACTCAATGAATTCAGTCACGTCTGCCGTGTCCTCGGCGTCGCGGCGGGCTGCCTCGTTCTCGCGGGCGCCCGTCTCCTCGTTGTACTCATCAAGGGGTTTGCGCAGGATCTCTTTCCACAGTTCTTCCCCTGCTGTCATGGTGGGCACGAGCAGGGCGCAGTCCTGCATTGCCATGCGCACATCACTAATGTCTGGGGTGAGGTCGTTGTGGTTGGAGAAGGCATTGTAGGCTGTGCGCTCTGCTAGTAGAGATAGATAGCGTGCCGTGAGGTCTACGATGGTGTCGACGGCCGAGGGTTTGCCGTGTTGGAAGCCCGTGGCGCGTAGAATGTGGAGTACGGCGGGCCGCAGCAGATTGAGGAAGAGGTCGTTTTGGGACATGCTGGCGGCGGTGCGGGCGATGGAAGATGCAGAGGTCCGCTGTGGTGTGGTGCTGTTAGGGTGGGAACAGCAGGCGCATGGTGGGACTGTCCGGCGCAGCGAGTGTAAGGAAAGTGAAGGTACGCGACTGGAAAGCTTTGGCCCTTCACTGCGGTGAACGCCAAGGCCGCCGCCCATGGAATGCCAACGCTTCCGACTCACCTACCCCAGCTTTCCCACAACCTCGCGCCCTCGCAAATGTCGCGCACCCAGGCGCGCAGTCCGATATATCCGTCCTGAACAACGAAACTCCCCGTACCGCCACCCAAGATGAAGCTCAAACTCAAGAACCTGGGTGCGCCTTCTGGCGATGCGCCGCCCGCCGCACCTCCCCCGTCCGACGCGCCTACACCCGTTTCCGCGAAGCCAGGAGGCCTCAAGATCAAGTTCAAGCCCTCAGCACCCGCGGCTGGTGAGCCTGCCGATGCCCAGAACGGCGAAGGTGCCAAAGTCAAGCGCAAGTACACCAAGAAGCCCAAACTCGATGAAAGCGGCAACGTCATTCCCCCGGGAAAGCCTGGACCCAAGAAGAGGGCACGCGAAGACGGCGACGATGTCGACTCACCTGCAGCGAAGCGCAAGCCGAAACCCACCGCGAAGAGCCTCGCCATGGCTAACGACAGCGGCGACGACGACGACGATTACGCCGCAGTCCAACAACCTCCGCCCCAGCCTATCAAGTCACACAACCGCACTCAGTCTATCAAGCTCTCCATCAAACCGAAGGGAAGCATGACCTCGGCGAGACCAGCCATCCTAAAGGTCAAAGGCGCTGGAAAGCCGCCGGTCAGACCATATGGTGTCGGATATGACAGTGAGGCAGAAGAGGCGGAACCTGACCCGGCTATCGAGTCTCAGTTTGTATTGCGCATGAAGCCAGGCCCAGACTGCGATCTACTGCGCAAATCTATCGAAGAGAAGACCATCGGCAAGAGTGTGTCACAGGGAGGGCCCGGCGTACACTTCCGATTCTTCGACCGCGAGGGCCGTCGGGCTATGGTCACAGTACAAGGCCGCCACTATGCTGCGACTATGGTCGATTTACCCGCAGTTATAGAGTCACTGAAGAGTTGGAACAAGAAGGACTGGGTTAAGACCGCAGATGTCTGCCAGATGCTGTTAGTCCTGGATGAAGTTAAGAACGAGGAGGAAGCGAAGAAGTATCCACTTCCATCCTATATCTCCCCAGACACCCACCGATTTCCCCACGGTCTGACGCCACCTATGAAGTGGGCCCGTAAGCGACGCTTCCGCCCTCGCAAATCCTACATCGACGTTGAACGCGCCGAAACAGCGTTACACAAACTACTGGAAGCTGACGAGCTTGCTGAATCAACCAAATATGAAATGGTAGACAGTGAAGCCGAGAGCTCAGAGGAGTCAAGCTCCGAAGAGGAGGTCGACGATGAAGAGATGGCAGACGCTACCCAGGTGGAGGAAATGGATGCCGACCAACTGGAACAGATGCTAGCCGAAGGACTCATGGACGACGAGGTCGAGTTCCAGGGCGACAACGACCAACTGAAGGCCTTGCTCGCAAACAACGACAATGTGCAAGTCGAACAAGCCGACACACCAACAACCGCTCACGACGTCGCCATGCACGCTCTCAGCCAGAACGGAAACGTGGTTGTCGAAACCGAGACAGCAGCATCCACACCCGCAGCCGCGACATCTGCAGATGACGATGATGACGACGACGACGAAGATTCCGATGAGGACGTCGATGAGGTGGACGAGGCCGCCGCGGCGGAGGAACAGCGCCAAGAGCAACTCCGCGGTGAAATCGCAGAGTTGGAGAGAGCTATTGTCCAAAGCACAGAAGCACGCGACAGACACACCAACTTCCTCTTCAAGAAGCGCGCACAAACTCAGATCGACAAGCAGAAGGCGGATCTTGCAATCAAGCGTAAGCAGCTTAATGAGGAGGCTGATGAGTGATCATACGTCTCCTAGATTCTGCGCTTTCTATGAAGGGCTGGTCATGAACATTGGGTAGCGGTGTTTATTATATGTAGCATCGCTTTGGCGTTCTCACTGGACACGGAGCATTTACATGGCGTTATCTTTAGGCTGGGATGCAGGATTTATGGCTCCATAGCGGATATTCCCAATTTCAATTATCATTCGTCAAGAGAGGTCCTAGGGGTGCTATTCTCTGATGCCCATCCACGGATTCAGGACTGTCCTCTTAAGAAGGAACCTCGGTTGGCCCCTTCTACTTGGAACGAACACGGATCTACCCACTCCTTCTTTTGTTCATCGAATGCTGCACGTATGCAATATAGCTGCAGTAGTACATTTGGACCCAGCTTGCATGCTACTGGTGCCCTCAGTTTTAGCCCCGCTCGATGCGCATCAGTGCCCAGGTATGGTCTATCGCTATCAGCATTGAACATCAGTGCCTTGAGGTCATCTGCGGCGTAGTATTTGGGGTCTTATCTAATTTGTCTGGTATGCTTGTTGTGCTCGGAACAGCCGTCGTGCAAAGTCTATCCATGCGCCTTAACTATACCGCTGGAGCTGCTGCGCGAGCGGATATGTGAGTACCTAGGTATGTACTGCATCGCTTTCCTCTCGATGGTGACGACTGATCATACACCCTCGTAGTTTTTGTTCCACGGAGCGATATTACAGCGACAAAACAGCTCGAAAGACAGCGTGACCAGAAGCCGTTCAAAATGAACAAGTATCCTGGAGATTATAATTACCTACCTTTGGGAAACGGTATTCGATGGTTGGTCAAGAATGACGGAACCTTCCCTCCGCCAGAGTTACCTGACGATGCTTTATGCGTCACTGCATCGGTTGAGAAATACCGCATGGAGACGAGAGGCAATATTCGAATCCTCGAGCTTCTCCCGGGTGAATTCAGCGATCCGTTACGGTGCCGATTGCGCACTGCGGCGCTTGAAAGCAACCCAGTATACGATGGACTCTCGTACAGGTGGGGAGACCCGAAGTTCACGGGTAGAATAATCCTCAAGGACAAACCTTTCCCTGTGACTCCGTCACTCGAGAATGCTCTGAGATACGTGCGTCTGGGACACCGTGTGCGCTACATTTGGGCAGACGCCGTTTGCATTAACCAAAACGATGATCAAGAACGCGGTAATCAGGTTCATCTCATGAAAGAGATCTACTCTCGGTGCAGAACTGTGAGAGTCTGGATTGATGTGGAGCTTGATCCTAAGAGTCCTGTCATTAGAAGGCTCTTCACTCTTCATCTGCAAAGCACTAAGGATCAGCTGGGCGACGATCCCGAATTCTGGGAGCCACTTCTCCCACTTCTTCAAAACGAGTATTGGGACAGACTCTGGATACAACAGGAACTTGCCTTTGCCCCAAAACTGGCATTCCACTGCCGGGGATTAGCTATCCCCGGTAAACGCTTAATGGCATTCCAACATCAGATGTTCCGCAAGTCGGCTCGCGACGGAGGGCCCTTCGGCGTAGACAATGCGTGGAGTCTATTCAGACCGCTAGTATCAACCACCAAGGCTCCAGCACGGAACTTGGCTTATTGGCGGGAGATGATGAAGAGCAAGGTGCCAGTCGATCCACACACTCTCCAACCAGACTTTTCTCTCCTCAAGCCAAAGGCCGACTGGCAGCTTGATCCCATAAAATGGGGTCCGTCGCTGAGCACAAGTCCAATCTATTTGTTGGGTATGTTGCGGCTATCACAGGCCTTGAACGCAACGGAGGCAAGAGATCGGGTGATTGCCACTCTGAACCTAGTCATCGACTATAACGACGATGGTACCGAAACGAGCTACGAACAGAGCCTCACTGAACGCTACACACGCGTCACTCGACTACTGCCATTCAAATGCAACAGCCTCCAGTTTCTGGCCCTGGCAAGAATCCATACCAACTCAGATCCTGCTGTCGAGGGCTTGCCTTCGTGGGTTCCAGATTGGGGTTTGCCGGGAAACGCAGACTATTTCTCGGGCCCTTTTCACGCCGCAGGCAACTTGCCTATGTACGGTACGCCCTTTTCGGGTCTCGAAGATGAAGACGATGTTCTACGCGCTAGGGGATTTCGGTATGCAAAGGTCAACGGAACACTCTCATCTACCAACAACGCCTTCTCTCCACTCTCGGTCTTGTCACATTTATTCATTTTTGCCAATGGGTCCACTGGATGTCATTTTGACGATATCAAGAAGCTCGGATCCACGATCACTGGCCCAGCTATTTCTGAGCTCCGCATAGGTCCTGACTATTTCAGCCACAACGAAGTCGTTCTTTACACGGGTATCCTGCTTGGTTACTCGTTCGTCACTCCTGGGCTTCGCGTTGTCGATCTACTTCCTTACGCAACGGATGTCTACGATCAATCCCAGAGAGATGTGAAAGTTGCACTTCGAGCTCTGCGCAAGTTCCGTGATCTCCGCCCTCCATGTCTTCGCTGGCTCGACCTCGAAAGTCTATCCGCTGCTATTCAGAAAACACATAACCAGACTGAGCGCTTCGGGCATTTCGTCCAGCTAGCACACAAGACTTTGTCATCCGGATGTTTGGCTTCAACATGTACTGGCACCACTCTTGCCATCACGGAAGGGAAAGCTCTGGTGGAGATTGATGACGAAATATGGATTCTATTCGGCTGTCCAACACCCATGGTTCTTCGGCGTATTACTTCACATTTCCTCGTTGTTTCCCCAGCCTATATATGTGATGTCATGAATGGAGAGGCGATGGATGGGGTTACTACCCCTGATGACAATTATGGCGGCTGGCCTAGGGTCCTGGCAGAAGGACGTTTGGGCACCACTCCTTCTTCTCCATATGAATCAGGAAGAAGCAACCGGTTGGTGGAAGTAATTCGCATCAGATAGATGTCAGTTCGAGAAGATATTGCGGTGCGAAGAGGTGAGACCCGTGATCGGCAAGACAGTTCCCAGTGTGAGAATGGATTTCTAGAGGTACGATACACGGGACTACGCTTCGAGCTTCTTTCTCGAAGGGTGTTCTAGGTACATTGCGTGCAACCAGCAACTCCCAAAGTGCCTGCCTCTTTGATGCATAACCATGTACTTTTACACAGTTTAGTTTGGCTGAGGGATCATAGGCCAGATCGTCAAGAGTGTATGTAGAAGCCATTGAGGTCTACTGTTATCTGTTGCCACACATCAATCATCGCGATCACACAAGCAGCAAGAAGTCGATTAATGAACGATTAAAAGAATCGATTTCCCCAACTATCCACCACGGGTATATACAACGAACCAAGGAAACCGTATGCGACTAGAGTGAGACCGCCATTCATGAGTTCATCCAAAGAAAAGAGACAATGCGCCTTTTCCAAACAAATAAAACGCCCTGCCAAGGGGGAAGACGCTTGAACGCTCAAAAAGCGGCGATTTTGCACAAGAAGAAGTGAGTACCAAGAATGTAGCTGCTGACAGCAGCAACAACAACCAACCCAAGATGGAGATAAGCAAAGAAACCCTGGCGCCAAGTCGTCATGATGATGATGGGAAAGGAGACAAAGAAAACAAGGCGTGTATGTACATGCCAGTGCCCCGCAAACGGAGCACCAAGAATAGACAAGTTTACAACAAAGAGAAGGGAAAACAAAGATCAATCGCTTTCCAGCAACTGTCTAATCTTCTCGTAGAAACTCGCTGGATACTGACGAATCTCATCGTCGGTAGGCGGGCTCTTGTTCGGATCTCTAAACCGATCTGCGACCCGTTGGATAATCTGGCCGAGCAGTTCCTGTGGTATTCTCAGGTCTTCTCCGCCGTCGGGGTAGAGGAAAGGATCTCGCTCGTCGAGAAGCTGTGCAACGTTTGGTCGGCGCGAGGCATCGCGTTGCAAGCAGCGACGGAGCGTAGCTTTGAGGCCGGGAGGGACGCGGACATCGCCGACACCGAGGTCGGGGATTTCGATCTTGTAGTCGCGGTTTACAATGGCGAGGACACGTGCCATTTGGTTGGTGATGTGTGCGAAGGGAGGGCGGCCGTAAACCATCTGGTAGAGGATGCAGCCTAGACTCCAGACGTCGGAGGGTTTGCCGAGCGCCATGTCTTTGGAGCCGTTGCCGTTGGAGAGCAGGCCTCGGGCGCCGCCGGCTGAGTCTTCCAGCGACTCTGGTGACATGTAGTTTGGGGTACCGATGTGCGAGTCGCGGTGCACATTTACGGTGTGGTCGACTTCGATGGCGTTGGCAATGCCGAAGTCGATGAGCTTTAAGCGGCCTGAGGTGAGCAGGAAGTTTGCGGGTTTCAGGTCAGAGTGGACAATGTCGTGGTCGTGGACTGCGCCGACGCATTCGAGCATTTCTTTCCAGTAGTAGCGTGTGAAGCTTAGGTCTAGTTTGCCGTCTCCGTCGGCGGGATCGAGCTTCATTCGTATTATACGAGCGAGGTCAGATTCTCCGAGTTCCATGAGCTGGTGCATGTTAGCATAGAACTTTGCCTCGTTTCAAGATACACGTACCACACTCAGCACTTGGCGTTGCTCATCGACCTCCCAATCGTATAGTCGCACAACGCGGTCCACGTTCTTCAGCTTCTGTAGGAGGTCGATCTCGCCCTTGAAGCCCCGTACAGTGGCCTCGTCTGCATCCTCAAGCTTGACTCTCTTCAGCGCCAAAAGCTTGAAATTCTCTGCCATGACGCGGTACACGGCCGAACTGCCTCCTCTTCCTATCCTGTCCATTTGCGAGTAATGCTTTCCGTTGACTGATAGTGTGCTCCTCTTCTTTCTTTCTCTCGTCTTTGTTGTGGCTGCTCCGGCAGCAGTAGTCGCCGTCTCCAACACTGACATCTTCGGCGGCGGCGGGGGTGCTGGTCGTCGCGGAGTGTTCGCACTTAGCGCCTGGAGCGGCATCTGCTTTTCTTGTTGCTGCGAAGATCGTTGTATCGGTGACTGGTGTTCTGGCTGTGGTTGCATATGGCGATCCTCTGCAACCTTCATGACAGAACCGGTGACCTTCAGGACGGAATCGGGGACGTTCTCAGGCTGCGACTTGACCGCGGAGATGGGCATGTTCTCCTGGTCTTGAGAGGGATGGTGTTCCTCCTCGCTCTGAGGCGTCCTCCGAAACCGTCTCATGGGCGCACCTCGTAGTGGCACTCGCTTGATTCGCAAACTTGGTGCAGGTGTGACGGTATCCTGCACTGGCGTGTTGGAGCCAGAGGCATTGCGCGATATCTTTAGCTTAGGTTTCCGCTTCTCAGGCGAATCGACGTCACTGCCTTGCGCAAGAAGTGCCGTCGTCAAAGCGCTGAGCTTCATGGGTTGTGGTATCTCGTCATCGGAGCTGTCGCCAATGTTGATGTTCTGCATCATAGGCGCGTCCGCTGAGAAGCCCTGCGACTGTCCCAGTACGGATAGCGGAGAGTCTCTCCTGGGTCGTATTGAGGAATGCGCACGCATGCGCCCATACGAGGGCGTGGGAGAAAGTGTAGCCATTCGATTGTCGCGTCGAGGTTCGGCAAGCGCGTTGCTTTCTATGTGCTCGTCGGGTTATGTGGATAGCGATTGTTAGCTAAGGGTTAGTTGCGCATTCATCCGGAAGGTGGGCGGGCGATTTCGTGGTAAAGATGGGGTGAAGTTGGCGTTCATGGATACTTAGGTAGCGCGCGAATCCTGAGACTCGCGTGGCCGCGTTGCTGAGGTAACTGCGATAAACAAACAGCCGAGGCACCATGCTGCGAAATGCCCCACACGTTTGACGTCAAAGCTGCTTCGCTATGCACGACTAGGCCTGCCTGTGCATTCTATCTGTCTTGACGTTTAGACGTTGCAGCAATCAGTGCTCTGACGTATGACCCTAATGTCATCAGACGGAGACATGGTAGCATCAGTACCTAGGTAGTCGATAGATGATCCATACAGCGACCAGTACTATGTCATAGATGCCGGTAGTCTACATTATCTACATTGCATGCATGCATCATGTGAACGTTGGGCAAGCTGCCTCAACTTGCGGGCCATGTCGCACGAAATATACAAACTCGAGGTTTACTTTGACACAGACCCATAACAAATGTTTACCGTGATCTAACCACACCCAGCTTCAAAACGAATCTCTGCATCTACACAAGACATTGATCGTAAGGGCCTACTGAAATGAACGATCTTTTGATGTCGCTATCTAGACTTCAAACATTCGTGACCACCACTGAACTTCATACGCTAAGACGATTACCAACCCATAGTGGCATGCGCAGGTGCGCCTCCGATTCCGCGCCTGAGTCCTCTCCATAACGCCATCGCCTACCCATGCAGCCAAACAACAGAGATCTAATGCATATAATCATAGCTTTGCGCGCTGCGGTGCATCCTCAAGCACGACAGCTACCACGGCAGCAATGTCGTCCGGTTTGCCACCGTGCCAATTCTCCCCAGGGTAGTATCGTTGCACTTCTTTGGCGAAGGGGCCATCCCGACGAGTGTTAAGCCCCGTCACCTTTGCCTCCTTCGCGACCGCGACAGCCACCTTGGCTTGGAGGGAGGAGCTATCAGCTTTACGAGCTGAATCGGCCTGTACCAGCTTTGCTAGATCCTGTCCAACCTCAATGGTGCCATCTTTCTCGACCCAAGCACCCAGGTCGACCATGTGACGACTGACAATACCGAGGGCATCCTGTGGGCTCAGGTTGTCCCACACACCATCGGTTGCAAAGAGGAGAACATCGCCATGGCGTACTTTGTGGTGCGTTATACTCGACTCCTTTGGCATATCCGAGAGTGTGGATGGGCCTCCGAATACGGCCATCTGCACGAGCATGCGCTGGGGAGTTTTGGAAAGCTGATACGGGGTATTGAAGGCGTGCGTCTGAGGCTGCGTGAAATGTCGTACGGCATTGAGTCCGAGATGCATGAATCCTGAATCTCCCAGGTTGGCTACCTCGACGTTGCCATCCGGTTCGGCAACAGCCAGACATGCGGTGCTACCACCACCCTCAATGGTGTCATCATCCGTGACCTCGTCGTACGCGACCTGGAGCAGGTCTTTCGGGTGTAATGCTGTCGTGTTGAATCCGTGCGGCCATGAGCGCGCGGCGCAAGCCATGTACTCGCACAATCCATGAGAGAAGTCGGCGGGGTCCAATCCAGACTCGACCCATCCTCCTACTCCATCTGCAACACCAAATGTCGTGGTCTTTGTGTTTCCCACCTGGCTGAAAAAGAAAGCATCCTGGCCACTTTTCGCTCGTTTCCGCTTGTCTATGGACTCCTTGCATTCGCGCAGGTCCTCAACCTTGCTACTGCTGGGGTCATGCAGCGGTCGTGTAAACAGATTCTGCTCCGCATTGAAGCGATCCTGCTTGGCAGAGTAGGATGCCGCAACGTGGTATGTATATTGCGGCGTACTCCGCCAGTTGTGTGAAGTCGAATGAAAGGAGCGTAAGCCGACAGTGGCCGGAGAGGTATCTCTGTTCAGCGGGCAGGTTGGTTGTGCGAAATTGGAAGGCATGCGCTGCGAATGAAGGCCGCTGGTTCGACTAGACGAGGCAGGCGCTGCCAATGGAGATGCGGCGAGAGCAAACAGGAAGAGACCACTAGAGGAGGCGCGTCGCGACACAGGTGGAAGTCGCGCAAGGCCCGCAGCGCTGGTAATCGCAAATGACATGGCCACAGCCAGAGCCTAGAGACGGGAGTCAGTACGTGGGAATTGGCAGCAGAATCAGCGCCTGTTGGCGGTGCCGTACCTCTGCGACAAATTATGTTGAAGGAAAAGGGACTTCTGGGCTAAGAAATCACATTGGCCGTCGTCATTGCCGATCGGCTAGTTCGTGGAGTACTTACAATTATCTGAAGCATGCTTGTTGGGTAAATATAGCAGAAAATACCCCAATAGCAAACTAGGGATAACGGAAAG